AAATGTGGTTCTCGCCTGAACGCCGCGCACATTCGTTGTGAAGTTTTACAGGAGCTTCACGGATTGAGGGCGGGTCGTGTTCAAAATACGGCTCTCGCCTTGGCGCCAGGCACATTCGAATAAAAAGTTGCAAGAAATTCACGGATTGGGGACGGGTCGTGTTCACAACGTGGCTCTCGCACTAGCGCCGCGCACATTCGTTTTAAATGCTTGCAGGAGCTTCACAGAATGAAGGCGGGTCGGTTTCAACATGTGGCTCTCGCCTTAGCACCGCGCACATTCCTTGATAATATTTGCAAGTGCTTCACGGATTGAAAGCGGCTCCTTTTCAAAATGTGGTTCTCGCCTTAGCGCCGCGCACATTCGTTCAACGAAATTGAAGAAAGTGTCACGGATTCCAGTGATCAACGTATCAGGAATGATGTTGGAAGAATTCAGGATTATGCGGTTTCAACAGTTATGCTGACTCGCGGCGTTGAAGTCCCAAAAAAAACGTTCTGGCACGATCCTGGATCGTCAGGACGCAGCAGTCAGGTTGATCCGTGGCGTTGAAATCCCGAGAATAATGTGCTGGTATGTTTCAGGGTTTTCAAACAGTTGTCTTCCAACGAGGTAGTTCCCTCAATGGAGACGAACCGTTGCAGGGGCCTGTGAAGAGGGAGCTTGGAGGAAGGGCTCATTCCAACATCGTGGGTGACTCTTGGGTTTGCGCTGGTCCCCCTCCTCCTCCTCCTCCTCCTCCTCCTCCTTCTTGTCCTCCTCCTCCTCCTCCTCCTCCTCCTCCTGCCCCTGAGCCTCTCCCCTCCTCCTCCTCCTCCTCCTCCACCTCCTCCTCCTCCTCCTCCTCCTCCTCCTCCTCCTCCTCTCCTCCTCCTCCTCCTCCGCTCCTCCCTCCTCCTCCTCCTGCCCCTGAGCCTCTCCCCCCCCCCCGAGAGAGCGCGTGGCGCGGCGGGCTCCGCGCCTCGCGGCGGCCGCGTCCCGCGCGGCCAGCTCGGAGCGGTGGGCGTCGCGGTCGCCCACGGGCGGCCTCGAGGGGCCGCCGTCGCGGACTGGGGAGGAGGAGGAGGAGGAGGAGGAGGAGGAGGAGGGACGAGGAGGAGGAGGAGGAGGAGGGACGAGAAGGAGGAGGAGGAGGAGGAGGAGGAGGAGGGAGGAGGAGGCGGCGGAGGAGGAAGAGAAGGAGGAGGCGGAGGAGGTGGGGGTGGAGGAGCAGGAGGAGGAGGAGGAAGAAGGAGGTTTTCGGACGGTTTCGTCGGTTCTCCGTGGTGTTCCAGCCTTTGGGCTGAATTTCAACAACTGCGTCTCGCCGAGGGTTTTCGGGGGGTGCCCGGATCGTCCCGAACGGCCGCAGGAGACCCGAGCTATGGCCCGAAACCTGAATGACCCGGGAGGAGAAGGAGGAGGAGGAGGACCAGTGCTGCTACAGAGATCAAAGTTGCCTGTGCTCGACGATGTTGCTCGACGATGTTGGGGAACCCTCCCTCCATGCTCTCTCTCTCCATAGGCTTCTACAGAGATTCACTCCCACTGAGGGAAATATCCCGTTAATTCAACCCCACTGAAGGAAATATCCCGTTGGGAGACAACCGTTGAGTTCAACGCCACAAATCAACTTGTCTGTTGCGTACTGACGATCCGAATCGTGCCAGAAAACCATTCCTGGGACTTCAACACCGCGAATTCACGCATCTGTTGCGCACTGACACTCCTGAATCGCTCCATGACACCATTTCTGGTACACTAACCATGTGAATCCGTGAAACTCGTTGGGTTTGGGAGGACGAGAGCGAGCGGCGCTGGGGCGAGAGCCACATGTTGAAAATCACCCGCCATCGATCCGTGAGAACCCTGCATTTTCTTAAGACGAACGCGCGAGGCGCTAAGCCACACTTTGAAAACGGGCCAGCCTCAATCTTGCAATTGTTTGAAACGAATTGGCCAGGCGCCAAGGCGAGAACCACATTGTGAAAACCACTCGCCCACAATCCGTGAAACCCTTGCTTTGGTGGGCCGAATGCGCGCGGCAGCAGGGAGAGAGCCACATTTTGAAACTCACCCGCCCTCAATATGTGAAACTCTTGCAACATGTTGAAACGAATGTGCGCGGCGCTAAGGCGAGAACCGAACGTTGAAAACCGCCCGCCCTCCGTGTGCGAAACTGCTGCCAACGTTTACGTTGCAGCAACGTGAACGGCAAGGGAAGCCTCAAACGCAACGCCCAGCCCGCCCTTCCGACTGGCCTCGGGGCGCGACAGGGAGGAGCATTCAAGGAAAAGGAATGGAGGGGGAGGAGAAGGAGGAGGAGGAGGAGGAGGAGGAAGCGCGCCACTGCCCCAAGCAAAACTCGCCACCCTGATACAAGCCTCTGAAATTGACAGGCCTCTGACTGATGGGCTCAGCCGAGCCCTTGCCCTGACTGTGGCCATCATCCAACCGAGGAGGAGGAGGAGGACCAGTGTAAACCCAAGAGCCATCAACGATGTTGGAATAAACCCTCCCTCCAAGCTCTCTCTTCATAGGCTCCTACAACGGTTCATCTCCACTGAGGGAACTGCCTCGTCAGAAGACAACCGTTTGAAGATTCTGAAGCATGCCAAAACACTGTTCTCGCAGGATTCCAACGCCACGGGTCAACCTGACTATTGCGTCTTGACGAGCCTGAATCGTGCCTGAACGCCATTCCTGGGCCTTGAACATCGCGAACCAACCGAACTGTTGCACCCGCATAACCCTGAATCTTTCCAAAACACCATTTCTGGTACGTTGAACACTGGAATCCGTGAAACTCTTGCACAATGTTGAAAAAGAATGTGCGCGGCACTAAGGCGAGAACCACATGTTGAGAAGGAACCGCCCTCAATCCGTGAAACTCTTGCAGAATATTTAAAATGAATGTGCGCGGCGCTAAGGCGAGAGACACATTTTGAAAACCAGTCGCCCTCAATCCGCGAAACTCTGGCAATCTGTTTAAACGAATGCTCGCGGCGCAAAGGCGAGAGCCACATTTTGAAAACCACACACACACCTCCATCTGTGAAACTGTGGGTCAGAAATGGTGAGGAAGTCTCTGGCGAACCGCCCGGCCCGCCCTAAAAACTGGCCTCGGGGAGCGACAAGGACAAGTTATGTATAAGGAAAGGGAAAGGAGGAGGAGGAAGAGGAGGAGGAGGAAGAGAAGGAAGTAGGGGAACACGGGGAAGAGGAGGGCAGAAAGCGGAACAGGAGTGGAGGAGAGGGGCTTGGTAGGGAAAGGGGGGAGAGGGGCTGGGTAGGGGGAGGGGAAAGGGGGTGGAGAAAAGAGGAAGGCGGGAGAAGGGGAGAAGGGGTAAAGAGAAAAGGGGAAGGAAAAAGGGGGAACGCGGGGAGGGGAAGGAAGGAGAACGGGGAAGGGGGGAAGAGAAGGAAGAGAAAGGTGAGGATTCGGGACAAAGGGGACATGGAAAGGAAGGAAACTAGAAGTGGGAAAGGGCGGAGGGGGAAAGAGGGGGAGATAAAAAAAAAAAAAAGACGGAGGCACAGAAAGATCTCCCTCTCCCCAAACAACAGATAAGCTGCACCCTCGATCAGAAACGGTAGAGCAAAGGGGAAGGCAAGCAGGGTGCGCTCGCACCATATCTGACGCCCTGCTCCATCCCACCCATCCCTTCCCATTTCGCTTATGTCGCTCTGTCCACCTACGGGTGTCCCAGCGGACCTGGATCCCAAAAATCACCCCATCGTGTGATGCGCAATCGGATTAGGGAACTGCGTACACCAGACGAGGACGAGGGTGAGGTGGCGGATGACCAGGAGGGTGGTCAGGAGGAAGAGGGAGAGGATGAGGAGGACGAACAGTTGCAGCAGGAGCAGGAGTAGAAGGAGCGGGACGAGCAGGAGGACCAAGGGAAGGCGGGCGAAGGGAAACGAGGGGGCGGCATCGACGAGGAAGGAATCGGATCTAGAAGTGTGGCCCGCGCTGGCGGGAGCGGCGTTCTGAACGACGGGGGCAGAGCACCCATACCGAAACGTGGCCAACGCTGCAGGGGGAGCAATGTTCTTGAAAGCGCGAGAACATTATGATTGGAAAGACCAGGTCGAAAGACAGCTCAGGACGACCCTGTTTGAAAAGCGCATACGATCTAATTAGGTTTGTGGAAATACGCACTGCATCCTGGGAGCGAGGAGAACAGCACTCGTGGTGAATGACTCGTGTTTTGAGCGGACACCGAACAAACCACTGCCCCTCAAGGGCGCGATCACCGCAGCCATCGACGAGCCGCTGCAACTCCCACGCAGTGGCAGTGTTCTATAGTGGCCAGCCAGGTTAACGTCACCAGCTTCGTGGGAGGAGGAGGAGGAGGAGGAGGAGGAGGAGGACAGAGGCCGAGGAGCAACCCAAAAAATCTGGAGCAACGCTCAGGCCAACCTGCACTAATATTGAATGACTGTGTAGCAGGAATAGAAAGATGCACGCGCATATATCCTGGACGAGAGAACTTTTTGGGGGGGGATCGGCGATAACATGGATTATCCGGGGAGGTGAGGCGCCGGCCGATAACCCAACCTTCGCGCTGTGGGAAGCCCCGCATATGCCCGCGCGCACCAATGCTGCGGCCCCTACAGCGGCTAACGATGCCGCGACGATGCCACCATTGGTGCTGCGACGATGCGGGCGCCGTCTGGAAAAAGTCTGAGGATATGTCGGGACAGGTCAACCGACAGGGGGGGGGGCCAGCCCGATAACCCAGGTTATCGCCAGACCCGAACTGAAAACAGCCCCCGGGCCGACCCCGATCCCAGGATCGGCGCATGCTTGGCCAGGGGCGCGTACGCCAGTCCCGGGCGCCAAGGATGGGCCTGGCCACGGTCGGCGCGCACTCAGGCAGATCTCGGCGCTCGATGAAGGAGCCCCGAATTCCCACGTCTCTGAAGAAATCGCAACACTGTACATATGGATTCAGACATCATATATAATACGAATCCTACTAATGAAAAGTTCATAACGCTGGTAATAATAATAATGCCAACAGTAAAAATAGAAACGACAGATCTATTGGGATACCAATGATGATAATGATGCTGATGATGATGATGGTGCTAATAGTAAGAATACTACTAAAAATGAATAACAGCAGCGAAGATAGCAATGACAACAATGAACATAATGGCAATGAGGAATAATAGAACATGAATAAGAATACAAAGTAGCCATACGACCAGTATCTATAATGATACAAAGAACGATCTGACTAATACTACGACTATACCAACGCTGATACTAGTAGAAAATAACTAATCCTAAGAATGCGCATGGTAATAATAGTATGACGACTGACAATAATAAGAATGAGACTACCGATGACAACAATAATCATGTTGACACTGAGAAAAAAGGATAAGAATAATAATGATAATAACACAAACAACAACAATCATCATCATAATCATAACAATCATACAGAGATTGAGGCGGACTCGCATGCGAAGCGGACGGAACCCCGAAGAATTAGGCTCTTCGCGGGCGCAGAGGCCGCCCAAGACAGCAGTAGGCAGTTTACGCAATGGGGCTTCTTCACATTTGATTGCAGGCCGCGCGTCACGTCATCGTCTTCGCAACGCGTTTGACGGACTGCTTCAGGGACGCCTCTGGCGCACCACCATGACTTTGCCTGCGCGTCTTCTGGATGCACGGCCTGCCTGCTTGATGCATCATAACGACACGAGACAACGACGACAGAAGAAACAAAAAAACCGCTGGAGCCGCTGACCCCACCTTTCTGCGGCACGTTTCGAGCGACATCGATTTATGGTGGCCCTGGGGCCCGAAGCCGGGCGACCACGGCCGTTGCGTGGGAAACAAGCTGTGCAGCGCCCGGATCTCGAGAGGCAGTGCGCAGGCAGCGCGCGCGCGCGGAGGGGGGGGCGCGCGAGGCAGGCGGAGGCGCCGCCTGGGGAGGAGCTCAGGCTCGTCCCCGTCGCGGAGCCAGCGCCAGCTGAGGCCTCCGCTGGCCAGCAGCCGATGTTCCTCGCCTCGCGGCACTGTCGCCGTCGCCGGCCGTCTGCGGGGTGAACCTCATCATCAGAAGCAACACCAGCAGCAGCAGCAGAACAGGATAATCATCATCAGCGTCATCATCACCAGCATCGTCATCAGTTTCCTCCGTATCCTTGTTGTCGCCATCGTCAGCGCCACCGTCACCATCACCAAGAAAATCCGCATCTACATGATATGCATTGCTCCTACCATCATCATCATCATCATCATCATCATCATCATCATCATCATCATCATCAGCATCAGCATCAGCATCAGCATCAGCAGCATCATCATCATCATCATCATCATCATCATCATCATCATCATCAGCATCATAATCAGAATCATCATCATCACCATCATCATCAGCATCAGCATCAGCCTCGTCCTCATCATCATCATCATCATCATCATCATCATCATCATCATCATCATCATCATCATCATCATCATCATCATCATCATCATCATCATCATCATCATCATCATCATCATCATCATCATCATCATCACATCATCACCATCATCATCATCATCATTATCATCATCATCATCATCATCATCATCATCATCGTCATCATCACCATCATCATCATCATCATCATCATCATCATCATCATCATCATCATCATCATCATCGTCACCATCACCATCACCATCATCCATCATCACCAGCATTACCGCTCTTCCAAACCTGGAGACACGAGGTGTCGCACGTGACGGTCTCCCATCAGCGACATAAGCATCACCATCATCATCATCATACGAATAATAAACATCATCATCATCATCAGCAGCATCATTATGAGCATCATCATCATCGTCATCATCAGAATCATCATCAACAGAATCAGCATCATCATCAGCAGCATCATCATCATTATCGTCGTTATCATCATCATCATTATCATCGTCATCATCAGCAGCATCATCAGCATCATCATCATCATCAAAGCTATCATCAGCCCTTTTCTAGGTTACAATGAAAAGAGTCATACTCATCATGGCTCTTATCGTTGTCGTCGTAACAGCCACCACCACCGTCAACGCAATCACAATCGTGGCCACGCAGGACTCTCATCATCATCCTCACACTGACTATGATGCTAATCGGCTCACCCTCGTGTTACTCCTCAACCTGCGCGTTTCGTCCTCCTCTACCTCCTTTACATGTCATCCCCCTACTATCACAATTATTATAACGATTATCATTCGTATTGTTAGAACTATTATTATGTATCCTCCTCCCTCCGTCTCCTCATCCTCCTACTGTTGATTTTCTCCTTCTACTCCTCCCCCTCATGCCCACCTCCTCCTCCACTCCACAATCATGATGATCATGATCATCATCATCATCATCACCACCACCACCACCACCACCATCACCATCATCATCATCATCATCATCATCATCATCATCATCATCATCATCATCATCATCATCATCATCATCATCATCATCATCATTGCCATCATCCCTCTCCCGCTACGTCATCCTCCCCCTCCTGCTCCTGCCACCTCTCTCCATCCTTCTTCAAACTCCTCCCCTTCCCCTGCTCTTCACCCCCGCCCTTCATCCTGGTCGCCGGTCTTCCTCCTGCTCGTGTCCTGCCTCTTCCTCGTCCTACTCCTACTCCTGCCCCCTTCATTCAGGGCGACGAGATCTCTACGCATCGGGTCCACTGCTCCCCTGGCCAGGCCCATCCTGCACCCAGCAGCTGTGCGTACACCCTCTCCGGGCCAAGCCAGGAGGGCGTGGCGTGGACGCAGCTGCCGGGCTCGCGAGGGGCGTGGCCAGGGAGCGGTGCCTGCGCGTAGCTCTCGTCGCCCTGCCCAATGGATGGCAGGACCGCCGCGAGGCCCCGGCCTGTCAGCGGGCTCGCCGTGCAGAAGTTGTGGAGGCCCCGCGAGAAGCGGTCCTGGCCACTCCGGGCGGTCGCGGCTTGGCGCGCTCGAGGTGGACACGCCACAAAAGCGCTCGAGGTGGGCACGTCACAAAAACTGCACGATGCCCCACTGGCAGCAGCAAAAGTCTCGCCCGGAGCCGACAGCGACCGATGTGGGCGTGCGGCCTCTTGCCTCAGATGACCGGTGTCCGTGGCGGCGTCGACAGCGGCATCGGCATCGGTGTCCCCTGACCTCCGCCGATACAGTCGGAGCGCACTCGAGAGGACACGCGACAGGACACGAGACTCTTTCCGACGGTAACATGGCCTCCGACAACCACAGGACACAAGGGTACCCTCAGTCCGAGCACGCAGAGGCCATGAGAAGGGATGGACAGGACACAAGAGTACCCTTGATTTTGCAGGGTCGACCTGCCAATGCGCGCCGACTTTAGTGCTTGTTCAAGGCGCGGCCCAAGAGGTGCCGACCCCTTCCGCGGGCAAGCTTTCCGCCCCAGATTCGTTCTTCACGGCCCCTGGGCCCGACAGCGGCCTCCGGAGGCCGAAAGCGAGAACGGACGCTGCGAGTGAAGCAATCAGAGAGCCCGAGGTCGTGGCACCAGGTAACGACACCGTTGCCTGCGTCTTCTTATTCTTCTTATTCTTACAATTACTATTATTATTAATATTACTATTAATAATATTGTTTTTCGTCGTATTATTAGCAGTGGTAGTCTTATTATTTTCATTACTAGTCGTATTACTATTATTTGTACTACTACTACTACTATTATTACTATCATTCTCATTCTTAGTATTGTCATTATGATTATTATTAATATTATCATTGTTATTATTCTTCTGAGCTCACGTACTGCCCTGCTCAAGATGGACAGCAGCTGTGGCCTGCGCCGTGGGGGCGTCCAAGAGAGGGGGGGGCGTCCTTGGAGGGGAGGGGTTCGCAGGTCGTGGCCCGAGGCACCGTGCGCGGCCTTCGGGGGGGGGGGTCGGGGGACGTGTCGAGAGAAGGGAGCTGTCGCGGTCCGCGCCATGATATCCACCCCACCCTAGACTTAAGTTGCTCCCATCGTACTTAAGGACGACATCCCGAAAATAATTTCATAATTTCAAGCACCCAGACAAGTATCGAAACAGTGTCGAACGAGCATCGCCTCCGAGGGCCCAACACGTGAAAACCCTCAAGATTCGGTACTTTCGTGGTGCTCGAAATTCTTTCTCGTGGTAGGGCTAAAGTAGGTTGGAACATCATAACCCAAGACGTCACCTCCCTCTTCAGGAGAGCCCAGCATCGAAATCGACGAGTCGGATCGGCGATCTAAATGAGTCGGATCGGCGGACATCTACGGCCAAGTCGGGGGAAGTCGAACTGGCAGAAATCGGCAGGCTAGCAGGCCTCCATTGAGCCATCGGGATCAAAATCGGAATCCGGAGTCGAATCGACTCGGAATCGGAGGCCATCGAAATCGAATCGAATCGAATCGGAGGAACCGAAGTGAGCTCTGCCTCCGACCTCCCCCGACCCCTGAGACCTGACGTTGAAAAAAATACAACATCGCGAAAAATTGCGACCCGAGCCCCAGATCTGATGTTTCTGCACCATGTTTCGAGCCGGATCGATCTGTGAGCGCCTCGGGGCCCGGAAGCGGACGAAAACGCCCAGATCTGAAGGACTGTCAGCCTTCGCCCCCATTCTTCGGCGACTCCGAATGGTGCGGTTTGCAAGGGGTGCGGTTTGTAAGCGGCACCCTGCAGGGCAACCCTGGGGGGCGGGCGAGGACCTCGGCAGAGCTCTCCGCCGCGCCCCGAGAAGGCACGCTGAAGACAGCATGGTGCTCCCCAGGCCCCAACGGTGCCGATCGCAAACCACCCCGGCGTACAATCGGACCTAGGCCAGAAGAAAATCCTTCAAGAACATGAGACACTCCGCCGGCCAAAACACACACACACAGAACATCCAAGGGTAGACCCTCCCCAGGATGCACGCGAGCACCCAACAAGCACGAAGAACACCAGGGAACCCTTCCCGAGCCAGCCTCGATCTTGTATA